CTTTATTTTTGTTTTGTTTTTTTGCGTTTGTGCGATTCTATTGAATTGCTATTTCTGAGGATTTTCTACGATGTTGAATTCCAGGGTGACCGATGGATAATCTCTGCAGTGTTTCTGGTTTAATGGTTAGGAGAAGAGTTTCAAACCGGTTGGAGTTCTAACGAGTTTTGTTTCGGGTATAATGGTCATGGTGTTTTGGCGAAGACGAAGCATGAGATGGATGGAATGTTAATCACTAAGCCTTGCGTTCAGGTATTTGGTATAAGAGGGTATGCATGTGTAAGGTAGTTAAATGAGTCCGGGTGTAATCTTGCCAATGCAGCGAGTAGGGGGGCTGTTGGATGTACTCACAGCATCAACAGATTATTGCGAGCAAGAATTTCCCGAGCAGATGGAGCGGGGAGTTTGGGGGTTCAATGGTTGCTATGGATTAGATTTGGTGGTACCAACTTTATCACATATTGCAGGTTTGAGGGTATGGGTGTCTACAACGGAATTTGTGTGCGTGGCTTGTGGTTCCTCACTTCCTTTTTCTGTGTATAATCAAGTCCTTTTTCCGGCTCTCACGCCAACCCCGGCTTCCACGCCCATACTCCGGCTATCACGCCAACCCGGCTTCCACGCCTTCAGGACTCCCACGTCCCTACATATACCTTTTACATCAGGGCCACCACGCCACCCGGCTTCCACGCCACAACTATATTATACACGAGCTTCCACGCTCCACCACGTAGAAGGGCTTTCACGCCCGCGGATAGTTTCTACATTTTGACCGTTGGCAGTACCCAGCTGCTGGCACCTTTTGTTTCCCACTACGGGACCCCGCGCCGAGGCACCCACGCACAAAGCTACTCAACAAACACCAAACCAATATCATCTACAACTGCTGTATGGCAGGAAACCAAGATGGCCAAGACAGCAGTGACAAAAAGGGACGGAAGTCAGTAACAAACACGACGGTCAGGGTACTCACCTCCGCTTCGCCTCCGAGGGTGCCGCACGCAGCACTGATCGTGAAAGGTCCGTGGGTGAGCAGCTCCACGGTGTCGCCGTCCGCCAACAACTCCGAGAAGTACTTGGACTGCAATATTGTTGTTGCGTGGCGCGTTGTTTCGAGGGTGACAAAACGTCAAACAAAGAACGACGTCGGCGTCGTAAACAAGATTGAGGGGGTGAGGAGTGAGGAAGGAGGCGGAAAGCAAGGGCAACTCGCAGGGAACGAACGCTACATGCAGTCTGGCGGCGCTGTCGTGTACAGTTCGAGGAATAATTGTAGTCCATGCACGCATTAAATAGCGTAGATTATGAGTTGCCCACACTTTTCCGGTCACCCGCATTGGGGTATATTTTGTAGGGGACTTGAGAGGGTTGTGTCTGTTTGTTTATATGTAATGAGCTCCCCGGTGAAATGGTCTTACACACCGGTAATTGCTCGAGTTGTTGACTTGAACTGCACTGCTGTACAAGAGGGTTTTGTTTCGTTTTCCTTTTTCGGCAAAATTCGAGGGACTTTTCCTTCTTACAGCGTACATCATGTCCTTCTCGAGCCTCAGTAATTTCTCGGGGATAGTGTGGCGTTACCGTGGGTGCGGAACGGATTACGCCATCGAGAATGCTTGCAACAGATGGTATCATACTTCGCGGAAAACGTGTTCGACACACAAGCGTGACCAAATAATTCACACGGCCGATGGGGCAGGCAAAAAGCGTCACCGAACAAAACGCGAGTTGCCTCTAGAAAGTGGCGTGTCTCTTTTCCTGATCCCCATCAATCACATCTCGGTTGCCTTGTCCCGTCAAAAATCTAATAAATATCGGCGGACGGCCCCAGAATGATGTGTAGGATGTCGAACATAAAAGAGCGATACATAGTCTTCAACATAGACAACTTTTCGGCGCCACGTGGTACAGCAGTACATCGACTCGCGAGGATTTTTTGTCACTGGTGCCAGCCCATCTCTCGGAGTATTCCATTCCTGATATAACGTCTACAGTCTTTGCTCGCATACCTGTATCTCTGTTTCGATTTCTGCAGCGTTCTATTTCGGAGCACAAACATTTTGGATGTGGTTTTTATCCCGCCAAGCCCGCGCGGAGAGCTGTTGCTTGTTGTTGCTGCATCCGGAACAGTTTTTTTTTTCGAAAAACGAAGGGTGGGCTTGACCGGCTGAGGCAGGCCGCATGCCCTTGGGGCTCTTGGCTCCAAGGTTTAAGGCGGTTGGTCGATACACCTTGGTGCGGGAGGATTCCTGGCGACAGTGGCAGATTCTTGTAGACCACACTGCCTGTTGATCAAACCTCAAAGCTCCCAGTCCCCGCGAGAACCATTCCTCCTGTCAAACACACCTTCACCCTCTCGGACTTCCAGGCACCCCACACTCCCGATGCGAGGGACCTAGACTCCTCCGCAAGTCCGCCCGCCGCCAGGGTGAGCGCCACGAGTGCGACATTGGCCATCTTCGCCATCATGATGCGTATAGTACGGTGTAGGTTATGGAGGGGATGTACGAGAAGAGAGAGCTCGGGGGAGTGTGTGCTGCGTGGCGCGGCTGATGGATGAGCCGCCCACCAATTAATCCGAACGGGAGGAATTTTTTCTTACTATGACACAATAAATCCATCTCTATCTACAGAAAAAAGAGTAATATAGATTAGCAATTAATCCATAGCGTCATCAGCGAAGGGCTATGTGTGTGTCTACGATTTCCCGAACAGCACACAGCGACATCTCCCCTTCGAACTTCGAACCTTGTTCTCCCCATCAAAATAATGCGTACCACGAAATGAGAGTACCGGTAGATCTTGAAAGAATGTATCTTTGAGAAGATCGTATGCATGCGATATGGAATCTTTCTCATCATCCAGATGCTGCACATGTATGTCTCCTTCTTGCCTCGAGTCTCGCATGCAATGGCGTACATGTATTAGTAATTACTACATACCAAATAGGAGCAACCTCCTCCTCAGTCCCGTGACTCATGCCACACACAACACACATATTCTGCATGAACACTGTGCGGTCCGTGCGCGAGGTGGGAGTGTTTCCTACCGTACTGACCGTTTGGGTCTGAGGTCTGGCCATCCTACACTACAGCAGCAGATCGGCTCACCCTGTCCACTCCAACTACAATAGTGTAGGAAGAATTTTTGACACGAGCAGACGTACGAAGCGAGTTGGACTAGACGGGAGCGCCGTCCTGGCTTCACGTTGTGCCGTTAGAATTTATCTTCTGATCACCAGCCGGCGGCTCTCGAGGTTCTGAGCGACAATCTTTTTTGCCGTAAAGTACAGACTTTTGCCTGTTTTGCAGCTATCTATGCATACGCTACAGCTATATACTGTAGTTTATCGTTTGCTACATACGACCGTACTCGTGCCGTTTTGCTGAAAAACTCGTTCGGAGCGGGCGGCATCCAAATGCTCCTAAAAAGCCAAACCCCACCAGGCTCGTGGATTCGTGGGGGTGTCGACGATTGTTGCAGGTCTTCACTTCCAAGAAGTCAACATGCGCTGATGATGAGTTTGTGACGACCAATATTCGGCAGGTGTCATCGGAGCTTCGCCGCTGTCAAGGCCTCGACGCGCTCTCTTTGAGGATTTCCTGGACTGGTTAACGTCGTGCGCAAACCACAAGTTGGGTGGCAGATGAAAGCTGTTTGGGAGCAGTTGGAGCAACAAGCTTTTAGGGGTGGAAACGGCGGCCTAAAAAAGAGGAATCCAAGATCAAAGAGCTCACGACTTCCAAAAACAACAACATGTGCCGCTCCTATCACATGATGTATGGTGCCGTGGTCGAGATTGTGAGAACATCCTCGCACAAACAACGTGATCTTTCCGCCAGGATCAAAGAAGAACACAAACCCGCAGCTGACATACATACCGTCAAAACCAAAGGCCGCCTTCTCAACCCCACAGGAAATCGTACGCAATGACACGACCACCCCACTTCCCAACCAAACCTATCCTAGCCTCTCCACCCTTGCTGGCCGTGCTGCCGCGGTTGGGGGGGGGGGGGGTGGCTCCCGCCTTGGCGCATCGCTTGCTGGTTCTGTACCTGCACTTCAATCTGATGCTGCTGCAGCTGCTGCAGCTGCTGCAGCTGTTGTGAGTACAACGTTGCCGCCCCCGCTCCCGCCCCACCAGGAACAAAGTTTGGTAGTCCCGGATTGGCGGGAAGGGCTCCCCACGCCCCCGCTGCCGCAGGCTCCATCATTGCCGGGCTCCACGAGCTAGGTCCTTGCCCGAACGTGGCCGGATGCGCCGCCCCGCCGCTTGGCGCTGCTTCAGTTGAGGGAGGATCCGAGACCCCCATCACGTGCTTTTCCAAAAAAGCATTTGCAGGGGCGGGAGGGGGGGGGGGAGGGAGGGCTGTGACGGCGGCAGGGGTAGACGGAATTGTTGCGCGGCGCAACTTGAGATCGCCAAAAATAAACTATTTTCCCGTAGTTCATACCGGTACCATCGCCCCCGTTCTCCCGAGTCGATCCAACCACCGATCGATGACGTCTTCTTTTCAAGTCCATCCAAACAAACGGTAATAATTGGAATAAAGGCGGGCATGCGGCACACAGACGATTGAACCGCCCTACCTTCACACACATTGACAGATAGTGTTCACTCCGCACCCCGTCCGGCTGCGTTGCTTAGCACGTGCCGGATCCCCTCCCCAAAGCACGCCACAGGAAACATGCAGAACCCTGGTGGTTGAAGAGAACATCACCTGCACACCAATCTCATAACTCACTTGCTGCTGCTGCTGCTGCTGCTGGTAGTACGCCGACCACTCGTTTCTCCTCTGCTGGTCACCAGTGACCCCAATCATCGCCCCGCCGGCGCTAGCCGCATCTAACGAGACACCCGGGTTTCCAGCGTAGCCTCGGGTACCGCCCCCAGCGGTGGCGTTACCGGGGCGGTGAGGATTCGCTGGGGCGGCACCGGTGCAGGTTGCGGGACCGGTGCTGCCGTTGCCATTGTCGTTGGCGTTGCCGCGATCGCTCGATCGTGAAGCTTGCGGGGGGCCAACTGCGGAACCGGATGCCGCAGAGGCTTCTTGACCAGCAGCGGCGGTGGCGGCGGCGGCCTCGTGAGCCCCCGTCCCATGAGCCCGGGTCCACGCTCTGTGCTCCGCCCGCACGCTCATGACCTTGGCGACGTCCATGCACAGGTCCTCGACGAACTCCTCGAACCACTCCCAGAGGTCCGCGCGATCTTCGACCGTCAACCGCCGGGCATCGCCGTCGTCGTTTTCCTCGCCGCTGGTGTTCTTGGCACCTCCTGCCCCAGTTCCACCGCCTCCGTCACCTATCGCCATCCGAAAAGCCGCCTCTACTCGGCCAGCGTGCAGGGCCTGTTAAGTTGAGACAAGTGCAGGGCAATATGGGGGGGGGGGTTATACTCATGTTAACGCGTGCAATGTTGTTAGACCAGGGGGGAGAAAAACACGGGGGCAAACGAGTGCAATTCGGGTCGGAGGGTGGGTGGGTGAGCGGGGGGAATGACCGAGCATGCATGGCTGAGGTGGGTTGGCATGGATCCTCGCAAGCTGACAGGTCTGGGAAAGAGCAAGCACGTCGAGGTTGCGCGGACCAGGCCGTCAGTCGTCCATTGGACCAAGGACCGAAATGACCGCGAACGGCTCGTTCGTTCAGCAAAGGGGCGCATCACACCAAAGTGGTGTGTTCCCCCCAAGAACCGCTAAGGGACAACGAGGCGACGGGGAGGGGGATCATTTGTCCTCGCTTTCTCCTCTGATTCTCCGCGCTCCATCACACCCGGAAAGACCCCTTCCCTTGCAGGCCACGCACTTAACTCGGTATTAGAACGGCACGACTATTTCAAGGAAGAAGGCATACCCTTGAGGTCGCCATGAGCGAAACAACAACTGCTTGAACAAACCATGGGATCAACAAGGTCGTCCATCCCACGGGGGGGGGGGGGGCTGCGGGTTAACACGAATCTCATCGTGGGTTACTATCGAAACAAGATCGTGAACGAAACTATGCTGTGCATTGCAGTAAATTGAGACAGTTCACAAGAGAACCCCCGTTTACCTGAGGTTGAGCAGCCTCGAACTCCAAAAACGCCAGCCAGAGCTCACGGCTGCCAGGGATGTCGCCCACCGCTGCGCGGAACGTCGCCCTCGCGGAGCCCGGGTTACCCAGGACGCGCTGCTGGAACCTGGCCAGCTGCATGTACAGGTAGGGTCTGAAAACGCGGAGACATACAAAAAGAGGAACACGAGAGGGTGGAAAGTGACGGCGAGGCCAGCGCGTACCACAGGACGGCGTTTGCTAAAACGAGAAGGGGCACGGGCGCGAGGCGAGAAAGAGAGAGAGCGAGAGAAAGAATCACATACACAGACAAAATGAGATAGACCGAGAGACAGAGAGACTGAGACACAGAGAGACAGACACGTGACAGAAGGAGCACATTAAAAGAGCCACAAAGCGGGCGTGAAACCGGACGTGCACGCCCCCCGCTCCGGGTGCCAAAAGTCTACACTTCCCCCACCGCGTCCACGCCCCCCCCCCACACCGCATCGTGTCCAACAAAACGCTTGAACATACCCCGCAGTGGAACATGCCGTACCTCGTAGTTTCCGTCGTCTCCTCCCAATGCGACGACTTCCCTCCCTTCTCCCCTCCTCCTCCTCCTCCTGCGGGCAGGCCTAAAGGGGGTGGCAGAAGCGACCGGTACGCCGCGCTAGCCGCCTCGCGGTTCCCGCACCTCCTCTCGAAACACGCAAGCTTGCACGCTCCCTCGACCAGGCCCGGCGCCACCTTCGCGGGACACAGCGCGACAGCCCACCGCCGCCACCGATGGGGAAGAGCGGGCAACGAGGGACGGGGGAGGGGGAGTGCTTTTGAGGGTCGTGGAGGGGGTGCTCGCATGTCGCCTTTAGGGGCCCCGGGTATTTTGCCCACGCAATCCTGTTCGAGGTACGGCGCTTGTTGTACTTCCCAATTCAACTACATCTTTTATAGGACTGGGAGCGAGCCGGCGGGGCGTACTGGAGTGTTTCTTCCCCCACGAGACAAAATGTGGGCTGATGCAAGAATGAGAGAAAGGGGCAATGAAATGGAGCACGGTTTAATCAAACAGGGCCGCGTCCAGCAAAACCTTGAGTGCTAGAAAAATTTGGACAAAATCTATCCGTTCACACAAGATGCCCGTATCGGTTCGTCTGCTACTCTGCCCTTGAATTGGGTACAAGAGGGGGGGGGGGGTGTACTCGTAGTCGTGCATGCCGTAGTCGCTAGACCATTGACATCGCATCCCTACAAAGCCGACGGAGCACGTCGGTTTTTTCACAGGACCAGGCTTTCACATCACCAAGCGCGAAGCGCCGTGAGGTATTCGGCGAGTCGCATAGAGGGTGCGCTGCTGCATCCTGCCAAGGGTGTTCGGCATCTTGTGCTTACTTTCTTCCGTACGGGTGACAGCTGCGAATGACTTACACAACTTATTTTCTGGTGCTGTCACTTTCAGCTACAAGCACTGTGTAGCCGCCTCGAGGGTGCTTGATCAATTTAACACAACGCGGTGCGATCATCCCGCTTGCGCGGTGTGAGGGTTCTCAACCCCACACAGCACCATCTACTCGACCACCATTACGGTTACCGAAAAAAGAGGGGAGGGGGGGCGAAGCGATACGGGGATGACGAAATTTGAGGGAAGCGCGGGGATTACACGAATTGGAAATTCGTCGGGTGAGTTGTCTTTGATGACCTTGTCCACATTACCGTACGAATCTCGCTTTGAAAAGCGCCCGATTCTTCCCCCTCGCTTCAGCCTCCTCCTGTACATAGGCAGCACCCCGAAGTATCGAACCGTAAAAAAGACATAGAATATCAGTGCCGCCACCCGTGGCACCCCCTGTTGCCCCCCGCAGTACATCAGATCGTACCCCGGCCCGCCAACCTGGTCTCACCGCACACACCTCCCAAACCAAGGGAGACGCTATAATATCACATCCTCAGCAAGACGCTATTCAGCACATCATCAAGCTGTAAAAGCATCTCTTGACAAGCAACTCAAGCGACCCCGAACACAATCGCATATAAACAACACCACCACCACCACCACCAGTAGCAGTAACAACACGATGAGCTACAACCATGCAACACACCTCCGATAGCACGTGCTGGTAAACATTCCTCGCCTCCTCCTTCCGGCCGACCCTCTCCAACAGCTCCGCCTTGAAGAACAGAGCCTCCGGTCGCCACCTCAGGAAGGGCGAGCACGCTCTCTCCGCCACCTCTAGCGCGGACTCCAGGCCCCGAACAGACTCCTGCCGACAGCAGTTGGTCCGATATTTGTTTGGGCCAGGGGACGAAAGTGTGTTGGGCTAAATCAAGGCAGTTTCGAAATCGTTCTGTACGCTAGCACCAGCGCTTTGCTGGGTCCTTAGGGTCGTTACCGGGGACTCTCTTGTTCAAAGCAGGCTGTTTATCCGGCAGAGGTGTTGCTAGCGAAACCGTCGACCCGGCTGCAGATGTGATAACGTTGAAATATATGGTGCTACTGCTGTCGACCGCGCTGGCATTGCGAAGGAGACGACCGTACTGAAACCAAAAAAAGGGCGTTTGATTGCAGGTACGGTCCTCCTCCAAGCACCGAGATAACACGATAGTAGCGCCGCCACAGGTGGAAGACGTGAGCGACAGCCTCTCGCCGTACTAGTATACTCCCCCCGTTGCCCGTACCTTCCACAGCGCGTAGCGTTCCCAGAGCCAGGAGTAGGAGGCGCAGGGCACAAGGCAGCGCTCGAAAAGCCTCTCGACATCTCCGCTCCCGCGAGAGCCCCTCCCTCGGTTGCTGCCGCTACCTCCATCGCCGTTCTCGCCCTCCCCTCCTCCTCGCCGGCGCTTCCGTCCAGGGGTAGCGACCGCGCTTGACAACCCCTCGCCGCGACCTCTCTCGGCTCCGGCCGCCTTACAATAACAAGCGAGGAAAGAAGAAGCGGCATTGTTTTACAGGACCAACACATCAACAGACCCGTTTGAGCCAAAAAAAGAGAACACTTCAGAAACAGACACACCGCCGTACTTCAGTACCATGGACACCCTCTAACAAAGGACCGCCACAATTTATCGGCGCACGCTTACCTGTCGAGAATAGCCGCCTTGAGGGTCAAAACAATGAAACAAAATAAAAGAGAGATGCAAACATCATCCTGGGTCTTTCGTTGTGCTAACCTGGGCCTGCTCGAAGTCCAGGTACTGCGACCACGCCAAGAGCTGGGCGTCGTCGAGCGGCTTCACGTGGAAATGCGGTCTGCTTATCCGCCGCTCGAAGCTCTCCCGCCGTTGCCTGCCCCTAAGGGACGCCTGGAGAACGATTCGCAAAATCTGTTAAAGCCGTTACCCCCAGGGTATTGAACCATGGTTGCGCGTAGGACTCTCTATACGTGTTGATTTCGTTTGTTGGAATACCACAAAGCAGATAAATACACAAGCGGAAGAAGAAAAAGCACACCCACAAGCAGCCAGTGAGTCATCGGCAAAGTCGTCCAAGGAATAGGCTGCTGCCCTTCTCGACTACATGCCTGGTTGTTGCCTCTTCGTAGGTTGCTATTAGGTGTCGCTGCGTTGCTGTATTATTTTACTCTGTCTGTCGGGAAGCCCAGGGAAGCTGAACGAAGGTCGGCCGCAAAGAAAGAGAATCATCTCCCAACGAGAGAATACCATGTACGTGAAATCGACCGCATGTGTCTCGGTAGCGTTTTTGGTCAGCTGCATGCTCCGAAATAGGTGGGAGAAGTAGAGGCGGGGGGGGGGGTGCCACCGGGCGGGGTGCAACCGCCGTTGTAAGCACCTCGCAACGGTTGGTGGGTTGATTCCGCTGATTGATTCTCCGATCAAACAACGTAACTGGCGCCTTCTCCTCGCCGGCTTCTTTCCCGCATACAGCACTAGCAGCATTTCCAACGGTTTTCCCGTGCAGGTAAGAAAAACGCCCTTGGCGGACCCAATCCAACGAAACGTCAACCGACGAAGGGAACAGAAACATGAACACGTCCTCCGCGGTCGTCGTCCTTTCGGTTCCATTTCGTGGGCTCTTTCGCACCTTCCGCTTCTCTCCCAGAGTCCTGACCAGCATGGCCTTCTTGTCGGCGTCGGTGCTACCCTCCTCTGCAGACGACGCCACCACCAACGCAGCCTCGGCCACTTCGAAGTCGTCGTCGTCCACGGCATCGTCGCCTTCGGCAGCAGCGGCTGTGGCTACGGCGGTGGCCTACGTGTAAACACCGACACAAGTTGAACACGCGCGATAGATCAGCTCGTCACGGAGCAGCAGCAGCTTAGCAGCAGATGCACGGGAAGCTCCCAGTAGAGGGTAAGATGCTCCCCCAGATCCAACACCAGCCCCAACAACCACCCGTTTCCTCCACAGAACATACAAATATTTTCCCCGCACCGCTCTGGAAGTACCACCAACGTGTTTTGAAGAGCAGCAGCGCTCAGGACAGTCGTGCCATCAGCCCAAAATGGCAACACCTATTTGCTGCTGCGATCCACAGCCGTACACAACCCATCCAAGCGAACGTCCGGGGTCTGCCTGTCCCACGCGAGCCCCAGGATCTACAGTATCTCACCTCACCCTCCCCAGTTGCGTTTGACGTTGCCGACGGTGGCGGCGGGGGCGGCGGCGAAGGCCTGAGCTTGCCCCACGGCAGGCCGTCGACGAACTCCTTGAAGCCGATCCAGAGCACCTCGAGGTCCTTGAGGCGGTGCCCGAAGGCTCGCTCGTACAGCCTAGTCACCCTCAGCGGACCGCGCCGCCCGCCCTGCCGGTCGGTCGGCGGAGGCAGACGTTAAAGGGACTCAGCGACGACACCACGAACGAAAAGACAGCAACAACAGCGTGAGAAGCAGCGGCGGCGGTGGCGGCGGCGGTGGCGGCGGCGGGAGCGGCACAATCGCAAGCATCCACAAAGACCTCGAAAGCAAGAAGAACAAACCTTGGAAGCTTGGAAGGACACAACAATGGATGGACCCATAGATAGCGTTGGGGAACGATCATGCCATTGAACACGTACATTGTGCTGAAAAAAAAAACGCAACAAGTACCTGGGCTTCTTCGAACGCGACACATGTGCGCCACAGAGGCCCCGCTCCCGGGTTGTCGCCCACCGCCTCCAGCGCCCGCTCGAACACCCTGCCGCCGCACACAGCAGCCAAAAAGTCGACGAGCACGCAAATTCGGCGAACTTTAGCGGGATGACTCGTTAGGGGGGGGGGGGGGGGGGTTCTGTGATCACGAGTGAAACTGAGACCGGCGGACAGGAAAGCAAGAAAACACAAAGCCCGGAACATAAGGATTCCCGGTCCTCTTGAAACATACATCACCCGGAAAGGCTGGCTCAGCTCCGCCTTCCACAATCACGTGGGACACGAGAAGCATTTTCCTGATCCGCGGGGGGCTTTGTGTGGCACGATGGAGGAGAGTCGATTGTCGAAAAGCTTAGCCTCACTCTCCATTTCGCCTCCGCTCGTAAGAGAGCGGATTCATGTATCGCTGTTGTACACCGGAAAATCGACAGAGTGAGTTACCTCGTCTACGTATCACCCTCGGCTACAACTTCCCTCTGGAGATTCGGTCGCTGAAGGCCCGGTCCGCGCCGCGGCGGCGGTGGCCTAAAACTAGGACACTGCCGTCTTGGTGCCATCGCACATTTCCGTGTGCGCCCTAAGCACAAACTGTTGTTCGCCTCAGGAAACACGACGGGCCATCGTCAGCCTTGTAATCTGGCGACAGCTCCACGCAGACAAGCTATGAAATACAACAAACTACCGTCAAGCAAAAAGGCTGTGGTCACCACACCAAGATCGTCGGAAGCCAAGCGCACGCTGACAGCAAGCAGACATGCACAGACTGCTGCTTGCCAAGCAGGAAGATAAAAAAAATAGGTAATGCAACTGAACCGTTGCCGCGAAAACGTGCGGCGCGTCCACCTCAAAATCTCACACAAATACACAGAAAATATCCGTGGCAAATTTCCCTCTTGGTGAGACGCCTTCCACTGCTGCTTCCCGAACCTCAAACGAAGATTTCACAGCTCCTGTCCCGAGATATTGAAAGGGGCTGGCTCCCTTGGCAGCTAGCGTCCCCCCTGCCCTTTTCCTCTTTCTGACACCCTCACGAATTTCACTCCACCGAGAGAGAGAAGGGTTCCGCCTCGAGAAAAAAAAAGAAAAAGACCTGAAAATTGCTTTGTGAATCACCTTCTGACGTCTGCCGCCCGCCCACCACCGCCGCCGCCTTTACCAACTCCGATTTCTTCCCCGACCCCTCCTCCCTCGCCCATGACATCTCCGACAAATGCCTCCCAAAGCTCGAGGCAGAACGGAGCCGCCGACACCGCGCGCTCGTACACCCCATGGGCCCGCCGCGCCTCGGGCGACAACGACTCACTCCCGCCCCCCGCCCCCCCGTCCACGCCCCCCCGCTCTTCGTGCCCCCCCCGGCTTGTAGTAGAGGGGTTGGTATGCTCAGCGGCGCCACCGGTGGAGGTGGAGGCTGCTGCTGACGTTGGAGGGGCCGGGTGTTTTCTTGCCAGGTTGGCGTACTGGAACATCGAGGAGGAGCGGTGTTGAGTGTGTTCGTCAAGTTGGAGTATTAACAGCGCGGGTTGAACGAGATGGGAGGCCTTTGGGATTTGTGGGTCGGTGTGACTCGGGGTTTATGAAACCGGCAGGGCATCGAAGGCTTGCTTTCTAAGGGGCAGAGAGGCAAATGGCATGGTGAGGAGGCACTGAGAGCACGCGAAAACCAACGTCACGGCTAGCATTCGAAAAACTTGTCGGTAGTGATGACACTCACAAGTGACGCTGCTGTTTATCGTGTTGATGTCGAAAGCCGTTCTGACCCAAGGTCAACTGCTGTGAAGATGTACATCATCGTTGTGATTGTTGTGCGTTCAGCTGAGGCTACTCGTAGCACACCCGATACGCCTTTGCCTACACACACTCCGTGGCATCTTGCGTAGTCGAAGAGCGCATCCCCTGAAAACGGCCTGCCGGGCAAGCAAGACAGAGTCTTTAGACTTGCCAGGCGTGGCGTGTGGTGTACAGTCACTCTCGCTTCTCCCCGGGTTGAGCAACGAGCAAGCTGAGAACGGGCGACAAATCATGGAGGTCATGGCGTCATGGTCCAGCTCAGACTGCTTCACTTCTGCTCAAACGACCATACATCCATGCCCCCCCCCGCCCCCTCCCCCACGCGCGAGAACAACACAGGTCCCACCTTTTTCCAGTACCCAAAGCACAAGGGGAACTGCCGCAGGAACTCATCGTAAGCGCGGTGGGCATCCGCCGAGGATCCGACCGACTCCACCTGTCGATCGGTATCACGTGGCATATTCGGCCAATGTTTTGCATGCGAAAAAACTAACATCTTCGAGAGCTCCCACGAGGTCGAAGTTTGCCACGGTGTTGAAGCGCACAGGGGCTGTGGGCCAACGGCGGTAGATGTGGTTTACAGCACTTGGTATCGGAGGAATGGAGTGCCTCCGCGGTCCGTGCAAAGGGTCTGCCTAATGTAATGTTTTTGTTCAAGATTGGACAATAATGTCGTACGCTTGGGATATTTTGCTTGCAAGTAAACCCTACCAAAAACCGCGCATCATCGATGTTGTCTCGATCATGATCATGGTAGCCCCGGTGGTCTAGTTGGTATCCTCCAAACCTTCTCGAGGTCAGATCAGGGGTTCGAATCCCGGCGTAAGCGAGCTTTTCTTGCGAAGTGAGTTTTTCTCTCGCTTCCGCTCCTGGCCTAGTGGATAGCGCTAGTTCGTGTGTACACAGAGGGAAGCGAGTGCTGAACTCTTCTCGCATTAAAAATCGAAGGCAAAGTACAGCAGGAGGGGAGGGTAGAGAGGGGCCCTTCTGTGTGACAACGGGTTGGAGTAAACGGCACTAGTGTTGTGAGCGCTGATTTGAAGTGAAGACAAAAAAAAAGGTGGTCGTTGACTCCTTGGTGACTTGGGAGGGAGGGGGGTGGGTGGGAGAGAGATGGTCTGTCCATAGAAAAAAGATTTTGGATCGTACTGAGAGGCTCAGTAAACCAGGTCGCCTGTGTATAGCCTATCGATCTGGGGAAGCAAATTTTGCGTTGATGCATGCACCTCTTCCCGGAGAGGTGGATACGTGGATACACTATTCCAAAACTGCGTGCCCCCCTAGTCTGTGGGTTCTCGACTTGACTTGTTTGGTTTACGTGACTTGCTTGGCGAGCAGGTCTCGCTTTCGCGTTTATGGTCTATACGTCTCAACGCAAGCTTGAGAGGATGCGCAACTTAACGAACCGAGTCAACCGCAATCGTCAATGCTGCCACCTTGCCATCCTGCATCTCTCGACAACATACCTCCAAAAGTCTTCACAAAAAATCCAACTGGCTCTCTGCTGCGCACCGATTTGGTCGAATTGTCGCCCCGAACCAACTAGACCTGCAGCAACTAGGGGTGCAGCGAACGCCCAGCACTGTAATGATAGTACGGGCGAGTGGGGTGGCGGGTCCTAATGGTGCGCTCAAACCCGTTCCCAAAAATACTTGCACACAACAAACAAAAGATAGCATGTGCATTGCTTGCTGTAGTTCTCGGCAGCTGATGATCCAAGAGTACCTGCGATAAGAGGGCTGTCCAGCACTGGAAGTCCATTGGATCGAAGGTCACCGCCTGCCACAACACCTGCAGTGCAGGAGCCTGGAAGGGGGAGTCGGTCATAATGGGTGTTGGGGTGGAGACGGGAAGTGATACCCACCCCCCAGCCCCGTTGGCAGATCAACAGCAGACACACCCACAGCCCGTAGCGCGGAATCAATGTCAACCGCGCGGGTACCCCTTACTATCCATTTTCCATCATGCGGGCTCCCCTCGGGAAGCTGGCTCTGCTGCCGCACTTGCTTGACAGCAGCTCTGTGTGCGCGCGTGCTCCACACGCAAGAGAGACGATGGCAGCTGCCGACCCCGCGATCCAGCAGCACGTGGCGGAGGTGAGAGGAGGAACCCCGTTGTGAGCGAGATTTCCTCGTCCGGGGTGACAAAACAAGGGGGTCGATGCGGGGAAGAAGGACGTCTATGTTTCAGCGGCCATGAGCGATTAGATTACCCCTCGCTGCCGTTGCATTATTAATCTGGCAACTGACCCGGCGGTAGCCGCATTCTCCCAGCCCATCCACCAGGGAGGAAGGAAGAATTAGACCTACAGAGTGCACCTGATGTTGATTGGTTTGTTGGCGTTGGGGCCACTCTGGTCAACTCATCAGCGCGGTTTGCTTTCGTGCCGAGCAACGAGACACAGACCGACCACACAGCAGCAAAGAACACACGCAGCGGTGTTGCCTTTGCCGATGTACCTTACATGGCCCAGCAAAGCACCGGCTGCGCGCAACGGTCGTCGGCCGCACACTGACCCCGCCGGCCCGTTGAAAACCATTTGTGTTTAGCGCACAACGTGGTTTGTTCTGATGCATATCGCCATTGAAGATGTTGTGCTATTTTTGCGACACCTTCTTGCGCGCCAGGAACATGAGATTACCCGCATCTTGCAGGTACAGATGTACTGCTGTACACATCCACCGCACCAGGCGGTCAAAACGAAGCTCACAACCAGCATCGCACGCGGGTTTTGACATGGTTGACGTGCTATGTACCCCTCTATTTTAAACACGCGCGATGCGCCGTGTGAGACCACTGCTGTCTACTGCAAGTTTCAGCGATCACCAGCACCTCCCTACAGCAGCAGCAGTCTACAGGAAGTAAGAAGGAGCCTGCAATACATGAAACTGCTGTGTACCACCGGCAACTCTCCGAGCAGAAGTGCATTACTGCTGTAGCACCGTGCGTTGCGTGTGATACCATGCACCCCCGGACCGATTGTCAAAGCTCGATTGCTCGCCATGAGCAAACCCAGCAGTGGTGGCGCCAACAATGGTGGCGTTGGAACCGTCTCGACGAGAGCTTACCGTAGACACATGATTTGATTATTTCATGTGGAGTAAGTACTAAATACTGGTAAATAGTGTGTACTTCTACATGATATTGAAAATCGTTTTCAGGGGGCGGGGGTGGGGCATCCTATGCAACCTACGGTTAGCGATTTTGCCTGCTTGTTACGGAAGCATTCTTCGTTCGCGCTCTTCTCCTTTGAAGTAACATACGGGGATACTTCCAAAAGCATTGTTGATGCTCTTGTCTTGCGGCTTGCGTGGTGTAGTCTACAACAGGTTCCCACACCTTGTAACGTTTCTCCGATCGCTGTGGCTGAGGAGTCATGCATGCGTATTATAGTTTGATTTTCACATGTCTGAAGGTAGACTTTGTTGCACCTCCATGTTAAATTTGACCCCAATGTGAAAGAAAGAGGTATATGTGAAAGAGAGAGGCGTATCGTTATTGTTGTAATCATGGATCAGACGGTTGTAGATTCGGGAAGTTGTCACAAGCAACAGGGAACCAAAACCCGCAGCTTTATCTACAAAGTTTCGACCACATGTGTACAGCAGCCTATGCCGGAAGCTGGACACGCGGGTAGTTGCCACCAATTCGAATATTCCTCTATGGGCCCGTGAAGACTGGGATGTGTGTGTGTCGCCCAGAGGAAAGATGGAACCCCGTCCCGTGGGAGCCCCTCCTAAAATAGAGTTTTGCTCTCTCAGGGTGACATTCGCATCCCCGTGTGCTTCGCGCTGTCGTCGATCCCACGACGAGAGGAAGAGCATTGCTCCATTACGTAGGCGGGTAGAACGCCCTGCTTTTCATCTCCCATCGTTTGGTTTTTACCCCGGTGGACAGAGTCCTCGTCTCGTTTGCGTGGGAGGAGTCGATTTCCCAGGCAGAAAGAACGCTGGAATAACTCGTCGTGTGCAAACATACGCGCGGCAGGCCCTGGCCGCCCTGAACGCGGTGTACAACGGGAGCGGGCCCAGCCACAAGGAGGCGGACCGATGGCTGCAGGAGTTCCAACGCAGCCAGGAGGCCTGGAGTGTGAGTAGCCAGCAGTCGTCTTGACCGCAGTACACCCGCGATACACGTATATTGCGCCGTTTCTCTGCCTAGGTCTGCCGCTTGTTTTCAAGAGTGAAGGTTGATGTGTGTGCGTGTGAGTCCACCTCACGCCATACCCTCCTCGAAAGCGCTGGGACGGTCATGCATGGCAACAGCGAGAACGCAGCGAGTCGGCGGGGGCGGGGCGTTCGAGGTTTGTACCTAAGGGGACGTGATGTACGCCGGGGGCCGGGAGCAGGAGCAGCAGCAACAGTGGCGGCTTTGCGTAGTTGTGGGGAGTGTCATTGTATAAACCATTCCCTCGAGGTGCCACATGCGAGCTCGAAGAGTTGTGGCGGGGAAGAAAGTGGGAAAGGGAAAGGGGGGGGGAGGGGGCCCCCGGACGTTTCAATATGTTCACTAACTCACGCGATGACTGTGCTTTTTCGCAAGAGTACTCCTCTTCATACACTTGAGAGTGTAGTGCACGTCTCAGCACGAAAAATGGGGGGACTGTCGCCATAATAAACAGGACGAAAGCACAACATACACACAAACCTTGCAGCGGGTGCGTGGGGCGGCCGTTGTTTTTTCCTGATCGGCCTCACCCCCCGGCTGCCTTGAGTTTTGGTTTGCCTGTGCTGCCAAGAGTTTGTGAGGCATCGTTACGTGCGCACCGTCGTGACTGCTGTTTGCCTCTTTCAAACCGCGGATGCAGGTCGCCGATGCCATGCTGAGGATGGAGTCGGCAGAGCTGAACGTGACGTTTTTCGCGGCGCAGACCATTCACGCCAAGATACGGAGCAACTTCCGGGAGCTGCCACAGGAGAGGTACGTTCACGCTTGATAGTCGCTTGCGGCAGTTTGTTTTGGTTCCTCGGCCCTCTTGTTTTTGTGATGATTTATTTGTCAGTGCAGTAGGTGGCCCGCTATAGTGCAGGGGGGTGTCAAGAGATGTTTACCTGCACAATACCGGGCACCTGCAGTATTCAGGATCGAGGAATAGATAGGTTTTAGTTACCAGCTTCAATCTGTGTCAGCAGATTTCACCCGCCCTATACCGAGAACTTGCACTTTTCAACTATAGTGTCTTGTTAGCATACAAGGTATTTTTCTGGCTCGAGATGATGAGGGTTGTACAAAATGTTTCGTCGGGTTTTTTTTGGTTTCGCAGGGATACAAATTTCTCGTGCTGTTGTGTATCTCACACCACCATTGACATCTCCGAACGCATTTTGACTCGACAACATGTCGGGCATCTCTGCTCGTGTAATGGCCCGATCCCAAACAGTGTTTTTTGCCACCCTCGTGATGGTCTCGTGTGTCACACATGCTTGGTTGTTCGCGTATTCCACTTTTTCTTCCTCAAGTATGTCGGCTGTTCTTGTGGCAATTTAATCTGTTTCGTGTGCACGCGCATTTCATCTGTCTACCACCCCCCTGTATGGCAGCATCCCCTCGTTGAGAGATTCCTTGGTGGATCACCTGGAGCGATGGGGGGGAGCCGGCAAGTCGGCAGTGATCACACGCCTCTGCTTGGCCCTGGTGCGTCGTATTTCTTGCTTGTGGCTGTGTTGCTGTTGTTGCTCCTGCTGCTGCAGCTGCTGTGCGACAGCAGTGGCGCGCTCCTAGAGTTCACTGTTGTCAAATATGATACCAACAACAAAATTGTCGAGCGAAAACCGGCGTTCCTGCTGTGTTGGAGGAGGAAACAACAGCGGTTTACCGAAGACAACCACGCCGCAGTATTTTGAGCTTGCCCGGAATTTAAGAATGATCTTCATGCTTTGGCAACGGCGAGGCTCAAAGCACCCCTCTTGTAGTCGAGAACCCGGCATGTGACACGACCCGCCGCAGGCAGACCACCGACACGCGCGGGGTAATACAACGGTAGTCGTCTTCCTTACACACCCGGGAATCAGTCCACCGCCGCCCCCGCCCCCCCCTCTAATCCCCGTCGTCCTTTGCCCACACATCCATCCCCCGTTGTATTGCGGTACGTTGTACGATGTTATCTACGATGTTCGTACAGTCCGGGCTCGCGCTCCAGTTGAATTGGCCAGACGTGCTCAGGGACCTCACGGGTAGATTAATGCGGGCGGGTTCGGTGGAGCAGCAGAAGCAGGCGGCCAGAGTCCTCCTCGAGTTCATGAAGGTGTGGGACGTGGTGCTACAGCCGTGTGGGTTTTTTGCTTTCCGTGGATGCCCCTGTGGATTTCCTTGCTGTTAATTTTTATCGTGCACGTTATGTGCATTTGGGGAGCGGGAGGGGCAGATGTCGGCGTGGCGGCAAGATGTTTTTTTTTCTGGAGTTAAATGGAAATGAATCGAGTAGAATCTTATGTTGGTGGTATGCTTTTTGTTAGGAAGCGGGGGCGGGGAGACCCTCCTATGTGCATCGGGCGCTGCATGTGACATGTCGATACATTTGGGTGCGGCTCGGCGATGATGTCGTCAGCAGAAGCAGTCGACAACAATCCTACTTGCGCTCTACTGCTGCAAGTGTGCTCGTTCTGGACGAGTGCCAGGTACGGCGCGGGGTCGTCTCGATTGCATGTGCTAGTACTGTAGTCGCCACGCAGCACGTCCGCTTCATGTTGTTCTTGACGAAACAGGTTGACTTATTGCCCATCTCCCCTCTCTCCCAGACCCCACTTTGGCACACCTTCGCTTAACACGGCCCACGGGGATTCCGATCCGCCAGCTCTATACGAAACGATCGACGCCTGTTTAACGCAGGCGTGTATGTCGACCCCAACCAGGTAATTTCCCATGACAGCAGTGTTACCGAAAATACCACAACTTTTCGGTGTCGGGGGTCCTCGTAATATTTTTCTTAACACCGCGTGCGTGACCCTTGCATATGGTGATGGACGGAACCCCCCGCTTTAGGTGTTGCCCGAAGAGGCCGTGAACCACCGCATCGTCGTCCCCGAGGCCACCCAAGTGGCCTTCCTGCAGCAGCTGTGTGAGTCTTCGGGCTTCTTGCTGACCTCCCTCGAGCAGATCGCCGCGGGGCCGCTCGGCGCAGAGATCATGGTGCAGGTACGGCTCGAGTGGGTGTGGGTGTTGTCAGGATCGACCGCCCTAACCGGTTGGCCGATGAAAATGTGTCAGTCTTGGTGCGGCGAGAGACGAAGAACACTTCTGAAGGCCACGTCTCGGTTAGTTAGCCTTTCGAACGCCGTCGTCCGAAGGTTTTTCGTGCTGGTTGTAGAATGTACACGTTTATTTCATTCACGATATTGATCGCCGAAGAAAGACTACTGGTTGAGAGAAACCCGTTGAATGAACTCAGTGAAGTTCCTTAGAGTGACAACACTTCCGAGTCGGGGTAGCACACACCACGGTGCCGCAACATGCTATTTTTTCCCCCGCCTCCGCTCCCCCTCCGGCCGCGCTTCACTACTCTGCAACATGACGCTGCGCTACACACACGCACATGCAGGAGACGGTGTTCCAGTGCCTGCAGAGCTGGGTGCGGCACGTCAACGTACCCGGGGACGAGGTAGTCCGCAACCCCCTCCTGTCGGCCGCCTTCGACGCCCTGGGAAACCAAGAGCTGTTTGAGACCGCGGTGGACTTGTTGGTGGAGGTTAGTCAGGGGGGTTGCGTCGGGCGCCCGAGGCGTTCAGAGAAGGCGGTGTCGCTTGCGAAGGGGGTTGCCGGAACAGAGGCTTGCTTCGGGGGGGGGAGGTTTGTGTACCTGCAGTTGAGGAATACTTCGTTAAGAAAGAGAGGCTCAAATTTTCACGAATACTAATAAAATAGGTCTATAATAGAAAGCATAACTCAGCGGTGGATCCTACACTCTACGAAGTATGTTACAAGATGTGCTCGACGGTGGGCGACGAAATATAACCCTGAGCCTCGGCCCAATGTTGACGTTTCTTGTCTCTCCGGGCCCGTTCTGTACGTGCTTCCCCAGATCCGTGCGTCTCCGCACGCAACGCTGCTGTGTCATGAATGTCCGCAGAGTTAATGCCCTCTCCTCTTGCTCCTCGTGCTTGTGCTTGTTTGTTTCGACCGGCTAGCGGCCGGGCTTGAATTGGGCCTCTGCGGTTCGCTAACGTTTGTCGCCTGAATACGTAACGTGTCGTCAGGTTCTGCGAAAGTACAAGGCAAACAACTTCCTGATCGTGCAGCTCATGGTGCCCAAGGCCATGGCGTTAGAGGTTAGTTATTCAGAAGGACCGCTGGGTAACCCTGGTAAATTTCTGTTTGGTTGCGACGTTCTTTTGGCCTTTTGACCTCATTCTCTCTTTTGTTTTTTCGTGACCACCACCCGGAGCACACAGGAATGGCACGCATTCTTGGCTGCGTTTCATTCTCGACTTTGCCTTCTTTTCGAGTTTGCCCTTTTTTATCCTGTTTTTTCCGTGCCGTGTCCAATGAAATGTTGTGTAGAGCTCGATAGATCGGGTTAAGACGCTCACGAAGAAGTAGGCAAAGTTCTTCGGCAGCAGTCCTTGTGAGTTGCTCGCCGGTGTGCCCACGTATCATGCCTTTCAGTTAGCTTGGCGTCGTCAAATGCATGTGCTGCTGCTGCTGCTGCTGCTGCTGCTGCTGCTGCTGCTGCTGCTGCTGTGCGTGCCCGCGACTTCAGGCTGCGTACATGAAGTCGTTGGAGGAGGAAGACGCGGACGTGGCCAGGGGGCTGTGTCGACTCTTTACGGAGATGGGGGAGGCTTATATGGACGTCATCATGTGAGTCTTTCTCTCCATCTCGTCCCCCCTCGCTCGGTCTGCGGTACCCTCGCTCTTGCGATTACTGTCCCGCCCCTGCGGTCGTTCCGCATTGGAACACGTTGACGCCCGCGTGGTGGTACTAGCGTGTACAACAAAAGTGTTCCGAAAAGGCGATGGAACAGTATGCCAAGATCTCTACCGGTGTGCATAGTTCGAAATGAACACGGAGGATTGTACTATCAAGCGACGTGTTTGGAGCAGATGCGCACACCTGAGGGAGCTGTCTGTCTCCCCTGTTTGATGGACTTCCTCCAGCCACAGTCGCTAGCTCGGGGAGCGGTGTGTAAAAAAGTGGTCCCCTCTTACCGTTCATTTCCCAAGACTGCCATTTAGAGCAGCTACTTTGAACGCATCAATTAACACTCTGGCTTTTCGGCCTCTTTCCAGTCACAAGGCGTGTATATCCAACTACACAAATCATGGCGAACACTCGCTAAAGTGCCAGCTGAAGCTGAGAAATTGGAGTGAATGCAGGCTGACCCCCCATTTTTTTTTTTTTTTGCTGACTCTTGCCACTTTTCCCCTTTGCGCTCGAACCTCCCGCCGTATGGAATACGGATGTGCCGCACTCCCACCCATCGCACCGCACCGCATGTACCAGGGCGCCGGACGACAGAGGGCAGCTTAAGCTGGTGGAGCTGGTGCTCATGTGCACGTCACACCCGGAGAGGGAGATCGCCACGATACCGCTTTATTTCTGGTACCTGTTCTGCCGGGTGAGCGAACTTTTTTTTTTTTCCGGTGTTTTGTGGCTGATTTTGCTGACCAACGAGCGGTAGATGGGCCGAAGGAGGAAACGCCACTGCTGTGGAGTGAGCACATGTCGCTGTTTCTTACGGTGCGGTCGGCGATTCACACCCGGCCGTGAGGCGTTTTAGGAATGAATGATGCTGCGACCATGTGACGTGCTGTGAATCTGTAACGCTGGGTGGGGCGTTCTTTCTGGTAGAGAGAGTGAACCAAATTTGTGCTTGGCTGACTCTGATGCTATTGTTGGCTGTTCACTGTATGCTGCTGGGCTGAGGCGCGCTGTCCCCTACATTGCATCCGACCCGTCCTGTTTTGTTTTTATTGTTGAACTATTTAGCCGTCGCATGATGTTGTTGGTCTTGTGTATGTTTTACTTTCTCTCTGCGGCTTAACCCCCTTGACCGTCGGTCCTGCGGGCCGCTTCGTTTGTTCGCTTGAATGATGGACGCAAGACGCTGGAGTCCCTGGAGCCGGCCGATCTCCGCACCGCCCGGTGCACCATGTTCGGACCGTGCCTGATGAGGCTAATCGGGGTACTGGTGGCGCTGATGCGGTACCCGGAGGACGTCGACGAGCTGGCGTACGATGAGGTAACTTCCTGTCTTCGGCCAGGCTTAACGGTTTTCCATGTGGGAGGGATGTGTGGCCAACGGGTTGGTGAATTGTTGTCGGACCAACAGTGCGCGTGGAAAACACGGTGGTATCGATGTACGTCAATTGGGTCCCAAGTGTTGTATGTGGGATTGTTCCTTTGGTAGTGGTGATGGTCAAGATGGCCTGCCCTGTGATTTTCGAAAGATTGTTGCTGGCGAGCCTTTGTTTTTCGTGGAAACCTTGGTGGATCAGGTTTTTCCGAAACCCACCCAGGCTAGCAATGTTACAGGACACGCAGTGTTGTTGAAATTCAAGGCGTGGTGTGCTGGCACGGAAGGTTGAGCTCACTTTTTCGGGAGTGAATTGGGCGAGATTTCACATGCTTGAAGGGTCCAATCTTGGTTATGAAACTCCCGAAAGCCATGCCTTGCGGGTTCGAAATACAGTATGACAGTACCTGTGTGTCATCTTGCCTGCTATGAGATCGCTGATACCGCGTCTAATTCCCCGCCCTGCCCGTGTACCTCTATGAGTATTTCAATTTTACTCAAATGTTTTTCGTGGTCAAACGCGTTCTCGACATGTTTTTCATGGACTACTCTGTATATCTTCGGGCAGATTGACGACCTGAAGAGACACCGGTACGATGTCGCCGACGTTCTTCGAGACGTGTGCCGCATCCTGGGGGGGGTTCAGTGCCTGCGCCAGGTGGTCATCCTTCTGGACCAGGAGGTACGAAGGATTCTCCTCCTCATCACCCTACTGCTGTGTTTTCCTATTTTATGCCCTATGTATTATTACACAGGTCGCATTTTGTCTCTGCTCTCCGATCACGACTGGTTTTTGGGTCGGTTACTTTTTTGTTTTGCTCTGGAGCAAAGGAGGTGGATATGTTGTATTTAATTCTTGGCGCACGCACCAAGTGCTGCTATCTATTTGCATGTGTACATGTGTACATGCGTTGTAACTTTTTTTTCCGAGTGAATGTGTCGAATGTCAGCCGGTCGGACCCATTTTCACCCCCGCCCCCGTTAACCCTACCATCCTTCTGTTATGGTTGCTGTTCTTTCCGTAATATGGATCCCCGTCCTTTTTTATTTGCGTTTTCTTCTGTCAGCTGGCGACTCTATGCAGCTTCCCTTCAACCTTATCATCGTTCTGTTGTGGTTGCTGTTCCTTTCGTATTATGGACACCCTTCCTTGTCTTTGTTGGCGTTGGCGTCTGTCAGCTGGCGACTCTAGCTTCCCTTCAACCCTATCATCGTTCTGTTGTGGTTGCGTTTACTGTCGTATTTTTGGATGGCCATTCTTCCTGTTGTTGTCCCATCAGCTGGCGACGCTATGTACCTTCCCTTCAACCCAATCATCGTTCCGTTGTGGTTGCTTTTCTTTCGTATTTTGGACACCCTTTCTTCATCAGCTGGGGACTCTAGGGGCTCTGGCGAGACCAGACGAGCCGGGGGCCTGGCAGGGGGTGGAGGCGTGCCTGTTCGCGACTAGATCGATCGGGAGAGACATACCGACAAGTGAGGAGACGATAGTGCCGCAGATCGTGGGGATGCTGCCGCGACTACCGGGGAATCATCACGTGCGATACACGGCCACGCTCATCGTGGGGAAGTGAGTCCGTGTTTATCTGATGTGAAGATGCGATGCGCTCTCTTGCGGCGTGAGGTGACGGGACGGGCTACAATATACGTCACCACATGCGAAGCTCTTGTTTTCCGCATTCCTCGCAACTTCGTCAACGGAGGAGCCCATCAGCGCATACCTCTTTAGGGTTCACTGTGGCAAGGGTTCGAGTTTTGCGTATCGAACCTCTCGGTTCGTCCGCCCAGTTGTGGCGCCGTGAGTACACGCCGCCCTCAACCGAATTATTTATCACGGTCATTGTTGCAGGCTGCAACAATGACCCTTCGCAGTAGCGTTTGCCTGCCCCTGTTGTCATGCTAATGAACCTCTTAGCGTCTCCCTCGTCGCTGTCGCCGTCTTTGTAACTTGTGTGCTGGATCCTGTTTTCGTTTCTTTTTTGTTATTTTCTTGTTTTTTTTTTTTTCTCACTTTCTCTTGGTGGCCCGATCCAGGTACTCGGAGTGGTTGAAGCTCCACCCCGAGCACCTGACGGAGATGTTCGCCTTCCTGATGGAAGGCTTCGCTTCCCCCGAAGTCATGCCGGCGGCCGCCACCGCAATCAAGGTCAGTGAACTCTTGAGCCCGCGTTGAGAGTACTATTGTTGTACTTCTAATTATGCGCAATAGCAAGTTTGCGACTGTGGTTTTGCCACCCAGTGCTGTTGTATCATAGGTGCCAGTTGTGCTTGGTCCATCTGGATGGTTTTTGCGCTGTTCTTCTCCTTCGAGGCACCTCATTGCGTGGTGAAAGGAGTCCCGGGTTTGCCATGCTCTCATTTCTGGATGCCCTCGTCCTGGGGACATAGACGTAAAAAGTGGTGGTGGTATTGTAGTTGCGTACGAGAGAGAGACGGCGGCGGCGGAACCGGCTTTCAAAGAGGCTAAACGGTAGTGTAAGACGCCTGCGGTATCAGGGCAAGGTTCCAAGTTTTGATTCGACATCGCGTGCATCATGCGGGAGGCCTGAAAGCCGTCGGCCTTCGTTCGGCAGCGCCACGTTGGAATGCGAAAGCCGACATTGCGCTGTGCTCACCAGGGATTGCTCCTCCGGGAGGAGCCAAGCGATGCTATTGCCCGCCTGCGCGGCCGTTGGGGGGGGTGGGGGTAGGGGAGTAACCTGCGTCATATTTTCTGCCGGGAGGATCCCTTCTAACGGGGCAATATCAACTGGTTTGTCTTCTGTAAATGTATCTATGCGTAGGTTGTTCTGCACAACATGGTAGTTTTTTATGCATCTGCTCCGCCCTGTACATGTGTGCTGCACTTGTCTGTTGACGCTTTTCGACAAAACTGATACTCCCTCCTAATTTTGTTGTGCCGTTATTGCTTGTCTGTTTTTTTTTTGCTCTCCTGGGGGCGTGCAGAATGTATGCCACTCCTGTGGGCAGCTGATGGGGGAGCAGGTGTTGGGTCTGTTGCAGGGTCACCTTAACGAGGCTAAGGCGCGGGAGGAGCACCGCATTGACATCAAGGACGAGCTGGAACTATTACAGGTGAAATTGTACAATTTTGTCGGACGTGTGGCGAGAGAAAGCTGACACCCATCCGGTGTGGACCGTAGCAGAGTCGCAACGGAATTGACGTTCTAAAGCACTTTTTAGTTTATTTGCTGGTCTGCATCGTTCGGGGATGCGCTGGACTGCTGCTCTGTATTCTATGTTTTTTTAAAAACGTACATATAGCAGTCCAAGAAATCCCATAATACCCATTCGAGACAACACCACAGTTGGAGTCTTTACAGCAGTGAGTGGGAAGAAAACCGGCTGGATATTAGGCTTATTTAGAGTCTTTGCTTCAATATAGGCTTTCTACATAAGCCCAATATCCAGCCGGTTTTGTTCCCACTCACTGCTGTAAACACTCCCAACTGTGGTGTTGTCTCGAATGGGTAGTAGTATTTTCTGACTGTAGGTACGTTTTCTAAAACATAGACTAGAGAGCAGCAGTCAAGCGCATCCCCGAACGACGCAGAGCAGCAAATAAACTAAAAAAGAGCGCTTTAGAATGTCACTCTGCTACGGTCCGCACCGGATGGGTGTCATCTTTCTCCCGCCAGACACCGTTGCAGAGTCGCAACGGAATTGGACATTCTGAATCGTGTACTTTTTTGTTGTTGGTTTTGCTGCTCTTCATCGCGTTGCCGCTGCTCTCCTTTTGTTTTTTTTGTGGGTTCGGTGGCAGGGCCTCTCGTACGTGGTCAGCACCCTAGCGCCAGATCCCGCGGCGGCGGCGATCCGAAGACTAGTGGAGCCGATGGCGACGGGACTGCAGCGGGACGGGGTGGCCGGCGGCGACGCCAAGCTGGCCCAGCAGGAGCTCGACAGGCTCACGGTCGTGGTCAGCCGCGCCAACCCGGTGATGCAGGTGAGTTAACCGTCGTCGTTTGTTGGTGGTGGTGGGGCTGTTGTTGTTGCTATTGTTCTTGTTGTTGTTGCTATTGTTCTTGTTGTTCTTGCTCTTGTTCTTGTTCTTGTTCTTGTTCTTGTTCTTGTTCTTGTTCTTGTTCTTGTTGTCAAGTTGCGGTTGCTGTGGTCGACGTTGGTGTTGGCTGTAGTTGTTTGTGGTGGTGGCGGTCGTCGTCGCCTTACGTGGCATGAGCACGAAACATGCTTTACCGAGATGACAAGACTGTCGCCGAAGGGCGAAGTCCTTGCAGGCAGACATGCTTCAGAAGTCTTGTGCTCGGTTGCCCGCCGGATACTTGTTGTTTCTGGAGCACGCTTTATCGCCGGGTACTGATCGTCGAACCATGATCCATGAAGCCGCAGGCCGGATGGCAAAGGCAGGCATCCTGCTTTCGCTTGAACGTGCTCCCTTTTATTTTGTCGTGGCAAAATACTTTTCATCTTTGCTTGAATTCAGTTCGGTGGTTGAGTTGGTAAATGTTTAACTTCCATGAGCTTGTACGAGACTGTCGTCAAGCCAAACCACATGGGTCTAGTTCAGCTACCCCGATCGGGCGGGTTATCGCGTTTCATGGATAGGTGCGTACTTCGTTTGTGATCATGACCCCCGCGCGCCTGCCCCACCCTCAACCGCGCGTTGTTCGGTGCCGCTAGGCGGGGCGAGAACACCCAGTCGTCATGGTGGTGCGAGAGCTGTGGCCCGTGCTTGAGGCGGTGTCGGCGAAGCACCAGTCGAGCGGCCAGGTCTTCGAGAAGCTCAGCCGCTTCTTCAAGCACGCCATGCGCACTTGCAAGGAGCACTTCGAGCCTTTGCTAAGGGTGAGGTGCACTCATGCACACGCATGCCGTAGTCGTGAAACCGTTTTAACTCGCATCCCTTCAATGCCGGGCGGCGGGTTTTCGCCGGCCCAGGCTACATGTACGTTACACGGGCATGAACCGGAAGGTGGTCATTATCTGTGCGTTTGCTGTGCCAACCGGTTTTGGGGGAGGTGTTGAGGCGAGTCCAATGTCTACGATGACGTTGCCCAAGGTGTTCATGCCACGTTGGCGGAGCCGTATATTCATCGCTGGCATACCTCGCAATGGGGCACACTCAGAGTTTCCTCAACATCTGCCACCCAACCCTCCCTCACGCTCCTCACCCCACCTCGTCTACTACCCGCCCTCTTGCACGCTCAGCAACCAATGTCACCAACCGCAGCAGGCGACAATCAACATCTCACACACCCCCCCCGCCCCCGGATCGTTCCCCCTTGATCGCTGTCGTTGATGATGTAGCCGCTAATCGCGCACCTGGTGGGCACGTTCAGCGTCGTCCCTCACTCGTCGTGCCTGTACTGCGGGTCCATCTGCGTGACGGAGTTCGGCAGGAGGGGGCCCGAGTTCACCGCGGTACTGTTCCAGATGCTCAGCGACTTCGCGCAGGCGGTTTTCCGATGTCTTCAGGTCTGTATGGTTGTCTCGCCCATTATGCATAGTGAACATTAACATGTATCCGGAATTGTTCCTCGCGGGCGGTGTATTAACAGTGTATCTGCTGCTGCCTTGATACCGTGTGTGTGTTCGTCCTTTCTATTCTGGCGCCAGTTTATAGGCCTTTCGGAATATATACCTGGACGTATCAGCCTTGGTATGCATACAGTATAGCAGTGTCGTTTTTTTTCTTTCGTTTCTTCTGGTGTGTTTTATCTGATTGAGATCCTCCCGGCCAGCCTCTCATTCACCAGTTTTACGGCCTCGAACCTTTGTACGTGCGTTGTGTCGCTCCACCAATGTAGCCTTGCCGCCCTCCTCCAGGCACACTCCCCCCCGCAAGTCTAGCCGGGCTCGATGGGGTCTTGTGTTTCTCTACAATACATGGCGTGCCTCTGTGTGTGGCCCTTGCCTCTTCCTTGTTGTGTACAACAGAGAATCCGCGTTACACAGCGCGCACGCACTCCCTCGGATTGCCTGTTGAAACCCCAGCCGCCGGCCGAGGGACTTTTTTTTTGTCCTCGGTGTCCGCGCGCATGTGCTCGTTCATCTCCATCTTGTGCGTGTTTCGCTGCAGTCTCTCTCTCTCTCTTTCGGACGCACCCCGCCACCTCTCACCTGCCGGTTTCGCTCGTCTGTCTGTGTTGTCCCTGCAGACGTTAGATGACTTTACGGCTAATCCGGACGTGGTAGAGGAGTTCTTCTACCTGGTGGGCCGATTCGTCGACTACTGCCCCGACCCGCTCGTTACAAGGTGCAAGAGGCGAAGGTTATGTTCCAACAGCCAACATCCCGGCTTCATTCCCGCCTGCTATCAATAGGCAATCCTCGACCCTGGTCTTGTTTTGGTATGTTGGGGGGATGGCGATTGTGCCCTGTGCCCTGTGTTACTCTATTGTAGGCGTTGGCATGATGTGTCGTATCTGCACCTGATGGGGTCTACCCGCATTCCAACCCGTCGGTAATTCGACCACACTGCCCGGTTTGCTGTTTATTGACCAATCCCCCCCCCCCCCCCCGCTCCCTGTACGTATTTTCCGTTGTGCGTGGAAACTCCGTTTTCGTTTTCTGGTCGCTCCTCGGTGCGTGGTCCACAAAAATAGTCCCCTGCTGTCGTCGTTGGTGCGGTGCGGAATGGTGGGGCTGCAGCTTCACCACAGAGAGGCTCAGAGGGGGGTGCTCCACTGCCTGGAGGAGGTCGTGGGGCTCGCGATGGCAGAGGGCCCGACGGGGAAGGCTAACCCGAGGGCTCAGCAGTTCATGCCGACCGTGGAGCAGGTGGGCAAGGGGTTGGGGGGGGGGGTACTCATGTTTTGCGCGTGTCAGTTGTTAGATTGACCACGCGTTCTCGAGAGGACGGAGCAGTGTTTGTGCGTGGGTAGATATTTCGGATGCATGTAGCGGGCCTGAGGGTCATTTTAGCGCCCGCGTTGTGCGCGAGTCGCGTTTTAGGAAATTTACTCTTGTCTGCTGGATGTTTGATACTGTGCGTAGCAATCGCTTCCCCGGCACAGATCTCATGCCCGGCAAGGAGGCGTTGGGTTTCTGCCGCGCATGTCTCGACGAAAAGCCTGTTGCGCACGTGTCCCGACCGTGGCCTTTTTTTCTTTCTTTCTCACTCTGCATCTTGGTCTCGTGATTGTCGTTATTTCGCTCGAGCGCAGGTGCTGCGGGAGCACGGGCCAGGCCTAGTCCAGGAGCTGGTTAAGTGCTGCGTGGGGGAGCAACCGTCGTACTCGGTCGACGGGGACGGGGGCTCCGTGGCGGGATTGATGTGGAGAATTTCGCGGCTGTGTCCCGCCTGGCTGCAGGTGTGTGCAACGGTTATGAGGGAACGGACGTGACGTGTGCTTGTTCGGGCAGAGGGGTCTCGGTGTTTTGCTTGGAAGTTCGGTCCGCGTGGTTCGCGTGGGCCACTGCCGTTGTTTGTGCGTCCTGGCGACACGCACAGACGCCTATGTTGTTTACCGCGTGCCTTGCTTGCACCCAGTAACGGATGCATAAGTTTTCCCTCTTACAACTCGTTCGTGTTCTTAGCGTGCGTTGAGACGTGTTTTACCTCCGCCTTCTTGCGGGAGCGGTTGCGGCAGGACCCGCGTTCTTGTTTGCCCCCCTAAACTAGCGATGGTTCCCCTCAATTTTTTCGTCTTGCTTTGACGTGTTTTTGACCTCTCCTCCCGGTCTTGCAGGAGTGGTTGCAGCAGGTTCTCGGGGCACTGCCGGCGAAGGTGGCAGACAACTACCAGAAGCAAGAGCTTATGGAGAAGTTGTTCGGGGCGCAGGCGGACAAGGGGAGGGAGTCGTTCGACACCGCGGTGGCGAGGTTCACTTCCGTGTGCTTCCAGAACCAGAGGAGCTGGTCCGACCCTTAGTTGTCCGCCCACCCTCCCGCCGGGCTCCCCCCTCGTGGCAAGGCAGTTTATGTAGAGCGTCGTTGGCTCCTTGCTATGTCTGTGGTTCGCGGTGGCTCCGGCGGCGCGAAAGGCTCTGGGAATTGTACCATGTCGTGATGTTGCCTGTTTTTGCAGAGTGCGGATTGTTTGTTTTTTCGTACATTGTAACGGAACACGCTACTAGTCGGGGAGGTTATGACGGGACCCAGAGGATTTCGAACTAGTGGCGAGTGGAAGGGGGGCAGGAGCGAGATTGTGGGTTGGATGAGTGCGCCTGATGGAAGAATCCTTTGTTCCAGCGTTGCGAACGTAGGGGCGAGGTTTGTACATGAGATACCCTGGGCGCAAAACGCTCTCAATAAATCTATAATTGCCCCCCCCCCACTCGGTGTATGTTGAGATCCGACGCTAGGTTGGTGGAGTGGAATGGAAGCCCCTATTCGCAGCCGTTTTGTGGACGACCTGCTGCAACTGTTGGGGTTATGGAGAATGTCTGGTGCGGTATTTGCAGTGGTGTAAGGCATATCTCGCGTCGAAGACGGCCGGGGTACGATTAGAGGTATAGGCGTTCATATCGCAAGCTACAACAGCAGCGAGGGTGTAATATAGGCAGCCGACGGACGGCGCTGGTTTCTGGTATCCAACCTTGCACGCGAGGCCGTTCGAAAACATGCGCGATTTCAGGGGGGCCGTGACGGTTGAACGCTGCTAAACGGGGGAGGGGGGGACGGCTTTGTGGTGCATGGCACACGTAACAGGTAAACAAAAACAAGACACGGTGGGATTCGGCAACTCTAAACCAACAATGAACTTCCTCTCTGTACTCCGTGGTTTGTGTCTGTCGGCGCGTGTGCGATACAGTAGTGATTGCATGCTTCGTGGTCGGTCCGGTGCTCGATTTTGTTGTGTTTGTGGTGGCGAGGGTGTGGTCGTTCTTGGTTGTTTTGGTTGCCGCGTGGCCCCAACGCGGTTATTATAGTGCGTTCCTGCTCTTTCCTTCGTGCTTGCCTGGTGTGGCTGTTGCAGCATTTAACGTCTGAACAAAACGAAGACAATGAACCGAAGAACTGCTGTCGGCTTTTTCGCCTGCCGTCGTTTGTTTTTGGCCGCGACGCACGTTCAATGCCTTCGACGGGACGTTGGACAAGGTTGAAGCTGGTGGCCGCATGGGTTGGTTTCAACGAACAATTTCGCGCCCAGCCCTTCAGGCTACACGCGAATAATGCCCCTGACTGCCCGTTATACATCAAAGGGTTGCGCCACGCCGACGTATGTCACACATATCTACTGTATTCTGTATCATCCATCCAATAGTCTACTGGCCAACCTACTCTAGGGCGAACGGCACCGCCAAAAAAGAGGGTATATAATCGTTCGACTTACCAAACAACGAGTCGGTAGACTACGTACTTACAGCATAGTTCTTCCGCATGCAGCGGGTGTTAGGGCCCAAAAGGCCAAGTCCAGGTTGCGTGTGGCGTCTCAACATTCAGTGGTCTACCGTTCAACTTTACGTCTATGTGAGTCAAACCACGTTTTGTCGTGCTACAATAAAAACACTCGGAATGGCAATGAAGGGGCCACAAACAAACCTCTCGAGCATATCCAGGCCAGCTACATACATATCTGGAGTCGGTGGTAGCAGAGAAGCAGCAGCAGCGGCACAGGCTTCAATCTGGACTGGGAGCCTCCACTCTACATGCACACAGGAAGGCCATTGTACAGGCATTGGCGCCCACCGGGCTAGTGGGATCGCTCCTTGCGCTGGCTTTACACCGTTCCGGGTCCATCTTGCAACCCCGGCAACAAACGTTTCCTTGCGAATCGCCGTTCGACGTGAACAAGGGTTGCCGTACATCGTTGTCGCGCGGCCTTACTTCAAGCAATCGACGGCGACCGCTGCCTGTTGTACAGATTTCTCCCCATGGCAGGAAACAACCAAAAATAACATGAACGAAAGCCGATGGCAAGGCGGATGATGCTTGTTGATCATTCCGTGCCTACCCTCGCCGTCTACGGATGGCTTCCGCTGGCCGCCGAGCCTGCGGTTAACATATACAACAGGAAGAGAATGGTCCCAATGCCAATAGACGCGATGGAGGCTTGCCTGGTGGTCTCCGACGCTTCTTTGGCCCCCTGCATAGGTACATGTAGTTTCAGTATTGTTTGCAATGGGGGGAATGGGTGCGTGCGGCAGGGGGACGGGCACGCGAGGAAAGGTATGGTTCATGTATGTATGTAGCACCTGAACGTTCTCGCGGATGTAGGCATACTTCGAAATGAGCAAGATATCCTCGCGCTTGCTGGTGGATGGATGGGCTGCACCGCTTCCCTGTTCAATCTGAATTGCTCTGAGTAGCTCATCCATGCGCTGACAGTGGAACGGCTGGCCGCCAACCGGTCGTATTATGCAGGCTTGTGCACGCGCGTGTGCGGGTCTGCAACACAATTCATACGTTCGATGGAGCGTGCGTCCTTGGTGTCGTTGGCTTTGGATACGCAACTATTTTTGGAGTGTCGAGCAAAAAATGAAAGATAATAATGTACTTCGATGGAGGTATAACGTAGTCTCACCTGGTAATTGCCGCTCTGCCATTTTGAGTAGACGCTGTTCGAAGTTATGATGGCATACAGGCCAATCGGCCAGCAGCAGAAAAAGCAGCTGCGGGCGCGCACGTTCCAAAAGACAGCACGAACGAGCGGAGAGGGAGCGGGGAAGCGAGGTACACGCAAAAAGAGGGGGCTTAAGGGCAACACAGGGTAAGTTCCAAAGGACAAGCGAGACCGGTACAGCTGAAAAGGAACAAATCCGACGGCACTTTCACCGGACGGATGCGAAACCCAGTGAAACGTACCAGTCAAATCTTTCAGCAAAGAACGCGGGGTGCGGGAAATTTCGTACGTGTGATACTCAAGCACGGAGCGCCAGGGGGATATCAGGGAGGCAGTGCTGTCCGTTTAGAGTCCAGAGTACACTAATCTGGCAGTTCGATGCGCCAGTTATATACCAGGTAGCAAAAACGTGGCCCCATGAAGCGCTCTCTTCCATCTGCATTCAGGCTCGAACCAGAGTCTGCCCGTTGGTGAGACTGACCATCGGTTCGGCGGGCATCGGAAGAGGTGCAAGGCGAACAGAAAAAAATCTACAAATGAACAGCCACGCGCAGGCGCGTTTAACACGATACGTACTCAAGCACCGCGTGGAAAAATAGTAACCACCGCTCATCTTCGTTTTTGCTCCCCTGACTACAGGCAGGCGTTGAGCAAAAGTACTTCGAGGGATGTTCTCACTGAAAATACTCCATCGCACCCCCTTTTAAGAACAATCTCGTACGCGTATTTCGTTTGTTGTAAAACTTTCTAGAACACCAGGGCGTTCGTTTGTCGTGTGCAATGCTGCTACAGCTGGGATCGGTCTTACGACCGTTCTCCTCGTCCTTTTACCTGCACCACGCGAGGCCAGCGTAGTTGTTAGGAGGTACCTGGCCTGCCCCAACGCACCCAGGAAGGGCAACGAACGGCAGACGAAGACAAGACCACCATGGAGGAGGAGGCCGGTAAAAAAACAGTCGTTTCGATTGGAAACGGGTGAACACGACGGGAACAACCGGGGAAAGAGGGAGGAGGGTGAGAGAGGGAGGAAAAAGCATGTGACTTGTAGAGATACTGTAGATGGGGGCAGAACAAGCAAAGAGACAGAGCCAAATACAACAAGTGGAGAGGGGACGAGCGGGGCACCGTAATACCAAACCAGACAGGGTGGCGGGCGGGGGGGGGGGGTAACATGTACACCCCGTGTTGAGGCGGAACGCAACCAGTTGAGGGGAAGCTCGTTTTGAGGTCCTGTCTCGCGAGCGGAGGCAACGGAGCTTTTGCCATACATTGAGAATGGCTGCGGCTCATCACCATTACCAAGGCCCTGCTGCCAGCACCAATCGATCCAGGGAAATTTGCTGTGTACAACAGCAGCATATGTTGAACTCACCTTCCACGCCCCCACCCTGTAGCATGCTTGAGGGCGCCTCAAATCCTTGCTCGGCAACGTCTTCAGCCAAGAACACGCCCGCATCCGAGCCAGATTTGGAGCTTTTCGCCATAATCCTGTAAGAAATGCGCTAGGCTGCGCCAAGGTGACACCGGAACGTAATGAAAATGCCAATTTTCGGCCTCGGTGACTTTTATCCTTGGCGCTATCCTGTACGTCAAGTATTGCCTGGTACGGGCCTTCGTTGTGTGGTGCACACCACCATCGTTTCAATGTTCTAGTGTACAAGCTCTGTTTTTCTTCTTCTCTACACTGTTATTTGTTATTTTGGACCACGGACCGAAGGGCAAAAGCTTCTTCAAAACGTGTGTCGATCTTCCCACTCCCGCCCGCAGGCATCGTGTCTTCTTACAAGTAGTTTAGCATACTTCGAAGCACTTCGTTCTCCTAAATATTGCTTATAGGTGGAGGGTTAAAACACGGGTTGACGTGATGACCTACAAATATCTCTCCCGTTCGCTGTGCCAATCGCACTGGGCTTCTCGTGGTGCGAACAGGAGCCTGGCTGCTGGCTACCACGATCGATGGTAGCGGCTACAGGCGCGATCTAACTTCGCGAGGTTAACAAGTTCATGAGGAAATAGAACAAGTAGGGGGGACGCAGACCCTGTTCCCTAACCCCAACCCGAACCCTACTCCCCCGATTGTATGCGTTATCCAACATGTTTGCTGAATCGAATAACCCTGCGAGGGCTACTGGAAAACGGTGGTTTCGTGAAGATCCGGGGCACTCCTCACTATGGAACAAGCGCCCGGGTCTCCGCAGCCGCTTGGCTTGTCAACAATTGAGTCGCTTGGCTGACAAGAAATCGAGTTACGGCTGGAATTATATTTTGCACCTCTTGTTATTGTCACGGCTGTGTGGAACTTGTCCCGACCACATACCCAGATTGTGTTGCTGCTTCCCGATGTTATTTACTTGATTATGCCTCTCTACCTCCTCGTACGCACACCGTGCAGTCAGAATCCGACACAAGCCGATTGTCACGTCAATCGCACCCGATCTCACACTGAACAGAAGGGCAAACGGCCCGGCATAAAGCCGATATTCTCAAGACGTCGTAATCAAACATCTTGCGCCGAGAAATTAACCATGGATAACACCAATAGTCTACATGGCTACCTCCAAATACCCAA